CTCCTGCTTCTCCCTCTCCCACTCCCCCTGCTTGTGTTCCCTCTCTCGCTGTGTCTCTCTCTGTCAAATAAATAAATCTTTAAAAAATAATAAAATAAGTAACATTTGAAAAACCCATTTTGAGTCTAAAGAAATTGGAAAAACTTTTATTTTCTTTTTAGTGATTCCCTTTAGTTGTTCCTTTCACTGTGCTTTCAGAGAATGAGTAAAATCAAAATTATAGACATTTAAAACACTAAAATACATTTTCATTAAAAAAACTTACCTTTGAATGTGTGATTGATAAGGTGTCTACCCACACACGCCAGCCACCCCATTCATATTTGACTGCATGGTAAAGTAGGATTCTGAATATGGCATATACCATTTCTGTTATCTTTTGCTCATCAGAATTCTTAGGATTGAAATAGCAAAGAGAAAGCATCCATTCTTGCCATACAGAACACTGTAGCAAGCTCCTGAAAATTGTAAGAGGATACTGAATTACTGAAAAAAAAAAAAAAATACTCATCTCTAAGAATTCTAAAAAGTAAAAGTTTAAAACAAACCAAAAAAAAGGCACCTCTATGTATGTATTAAAACAACTGAAGACGGTGGTACTGAAAACTCAATTTAAATGTATGGTACATTATTTATATACCCCTAATGAAAAAAGCATATGGAAAATTCATTTCACAGTATTTTTAAAAACAATTCTTATTAGAAAAAAATGGGTTTATTCAAACCTGGACTTGAATAGTGCAAATAATTGCTTTCTGATCCCACTTACCTTCTGTTTTCTCTACTGTTATTAAAAAGTTTAATCATGTCAGAAAGAAAGGTTCTGCGAACTTCCATGCTCTCTGGGCAATGGGGAGAATTTCGAAGTAGGGTTGCAATTACTTTTAGTATCTCTGTAAGATAATTCATAAATTAGTAAAAACCAAAATATCACAAAAAATTCATGATGGAAGATCATTAATATATTTCTCTAGTTTCCCTGACATATATGTCTACTGAAAACATGTTTCTGTGTTATAAAAAAATAATCATCTGCAGAAAAGGATGACAATACATTCATTAGAAAGCATCCATAAGAAAGGGATTTTTTTATATTGTCATTACAAATGTATAAAAGTTGAACTTTAAAAATTTTAAAACTTGAATTTTACATTAAATCTAATTAAATTATAAATGAATTAAATAATAGTAAAACGACTGACAACTCTCACAATCTCTGCCAAATAGTAAAGTTATCTTAAAAAAAAAAAAAGCTATAGTCAGAATCTCAGAAAAACATAAAAAATTCTCAGCTTCTTCAATAAAATTCCTGGTATGCATAATATAGTCTTTCCTTTATCATAATTTTAAAAGCTATCAAGATTTTCTTCCATGATTTCAAAAATTAAATTAGATTAAAAAAACAAAGGAAATAAAAACCTATTCAACACCCCCAAATAAATACAAATGAAACTGCTACTGTAATGGTCTTAAATATAACACTGTCTAAATTTCTAATACTTAGCATTAAGGACAAAAAATTCTTTAAAATATATACTTAAATCCAGAACTTTAAAGAAACAAAACAGCTATAACCCTGAATCTGAAGTTAAATAATATATAAGTTTTTACATACCCAATTACAATTTAGAACTTCTATACTAGCCTTTTGCCAAGGTTTTTGGTGATTTTGAAGCAGTAAGTACAAAATAGCAAATATGAAGATACTTTATCATACAATGAAAGACATTTGGGGAGTAATTTCTGAATTCTTCTAATGACAAACTGAAAATTTCTCTACCTGAACAATGATTACAATGATGATGATAACCACAACAATAATGATGATGATGATAATAGCCACTCATTTTAAGAAATATGTTATTATGAGGCAATGTTTTAAGAAAATATGGGTATTAACTCATATACAATGATAGCTAAATACTGTTATTATCCCCATTTTAGAGATAAGAAAACTGAGGCACATAGAAATGAACTAATTTACCCAAAGTCACACAACTATTAAAACATACAGACAAGATTAAAAGCCAGGCAGCCACTGTGGAAAACAGTATGGAGGTTCCTCAGAAAGTTGGAAATAGAGCTACCATATGATCCAGCAATTGCACTACTGGGTATTTACCCCAAAGATACAAATGTAGTGATCCGAAGTGGTATGTGCACCC